GTGTACTGGTAATTGCTTAGCCCTGCTATCCTTATAAAAAGGGCCAGAGAGGAGAAGGTGGCGAGAAGGATTCTCCTCTATAACACTGGAGAGCTTTTGCCATCCAAAACAATAATCCTGGACTATGTGGATGAACACTCAGATGGTATAGAGCAGTGTTTCTCAACCTTGGCAAGTTTAAAATGTGTGGATTTCAACTCCCAGAATTCCCTAGCCAGCATGCTGGGTGGGGAATTCTGAGAATTGAAGTCCACACATCTTAACTTGCCAAGGTTGAGAAACACTGGTAGAGAGACTCTCCTGTTTCCTATTGGCTCTGTTTTCACATCATGCCAAATGGTGGTTTACCAATTTAACCCAATTTCTAGAGTCATAAACCAATCAGCCACATTTTGGTCTAGCATGTTATGGTAACCCAGTAACTAGCAACTAGGTCAGCCCTTTCTTCAGGTGAGAGATGGGAATTTGAGGGAGAGGCTGCAGTTGAGTGGTAGATCATTTGTGCCACATGCAGAATTCCTGATGTTCCCAGGTAGATGTGAAAAAGGTTTCTCTTTGGAAACCTGAAAAGCTACAGCCGATAGGCCTTTGGTTTGCAGTCAGCAAGCCAGTTCTTACAAAGCTAAATGTTTAGAGCAGTGTGTCTTCAAGTACCATGTGTAGAAATAACCAATAGCAACACCATCCTCAGGATTCCCCTGCAAGCACCAGGTTTAGCACTGGTGGAAGCTGACTGAGTGACAAGGTAGCCTTTTGGTCCTAAACTGGGATCTTTCTTGTTCTTTGCACCAGATATTTGAAGATATCCTTCTGTAATTATTTAACTTTGCAGATAGTTGCTTGCTCATTGTGGACCAAAGTCCTCCTATTTTGCTTTCCGTAATGGACTCTAAGAAGTCCACAGGCCAAGCACAATCTGTCCTTTTGTATGATTCTGAGAGTGATAGCCTCTAAACGTGGTTTTATTCTTAGCTGTCATAATTTAACAGCTAGGGATTAACCTGCCTGGGAAGAAGAGTTGGACTGGAGCAGTGTAGTAGCCTAAGTAAACAGGCAAATAAAAGTCAGCTGAGTGGCTTGCTGGATGCTTTGAGGAAGCCCAAGAGCAGGACAGGTTAAAAATGGAGGCTTCAAAGGCAGATCTCAGCTAGCCTTGACCATTGCTGTGTAGCCTTAGGCTGTCCCATAATCTGGGTAAGCCAAAAAAAGTTGGCTAGCA